TCTGAGTATGTGAATGTTTCAGTTTCTCCTTGTAGTTTCTGTAGATAAGCTATTGGTACCTAAAAGATTTAATTCAGTCTTTAAACAGTGTCTTTGAAATCAATATGCAATATCTTTTTGTCTCATTTAATGATTTTCACATTATATTTTGTGTTGTCTGCTGTTAGCACTGCTATACTTTTTTTTTTTTTTTTAAAGCATTTGACTGATGTATCTTTTCCATTTTTTAAATATTCAACCTTTCTGGGTTATTTGGTTTTAGGAGTATCTTTTGTAAGTACTATGTAGGTGATGTTTAAAAGAATCTGAATGGAAAAACTATTATCTTTTAATATCCGAGATTAACATATTCATGTTTTATAATTAATGTTTAGATTAAATTACTGTCATTTTAAGTTGTGCTTTATATTTATTATGTTTTCTGCTCACTTATTCTGTTGGCTTCATCAGATTTTCCTTTTTCTTGAATAATTTCAAAGTTATATATGTATTCTATTTCAGTTTTTCTGGTCACTTTTACAATTTGTGTGTGCATACTTAAAACTGTATAAAAGTTTATAATATTTACTTGAAGTTTTAATCCATCCTCTGTATAAGACAAAAACTGTAGCATAAATTTTTTCTTTGTCCTTTCCTTTTCCTTATCACCTTGATAAGTTGATGTTTGATTTTTTTTTTTTTTTTTTCCTTTTCTTTTCTTTTTGAGACAGGGTCTCACTTTGTCACCCAGGCTGGAGTACAGTGGTGAGATCATGGCTCAGTACAGCCTTGACCTCCTGGGTTCAAGCAATCTTTCCATTTCAACAACCCCAGTAGCTGGGACCACAGACACGCACCGCCATACCTAACTAGTTTTTGTATTTTTTGTAGAGATAGGGTTTCACCATGTTGCCCAGGCTGGTCTGAAACTCCTGGACCCAAGCAATCCTTTCACCTTGACCTCCCAAAATGCTGGACTTACAGACATGAGCCACTGTGCCCAGTCGATATTTGAATTTTTTATTCGATTGTAAGCGTTTTTACTATCTATGTATATAATACCCTCCTCCCCTTTTCTGGCTAACTCGCTTTTTGCGTACCACTATTTTTTTTTGTAAATACTCTGTTTTTCCTCTAGAATATATCCTGTAATATAAATTGTTTCATATGTGACAAACTTTGAGTCCTCTAAGAGAAACTCTTAATGTACTGAAACTTACTGTAATATTTCTGGATGTGAGTTTTGAAAACATAAACAGTTGGGCCCTTTAAGTCGGACAATTCATATTTTTGGTTTTGGAAATTCTTAGCTATTACTTGTTCAGCATATCTTTTCTCCATTCTCTTGATGCTTTCTGGAATTCCTGGATCCATGTTGAAACTTCAGGATCTCTTTCCATGTCTTCTTTTTTTTTTTTTTTTTTAAAGGTGGAGTCTCGCCTCAGCCAGGCTGGAGTGCGTGCAAGTGGTGCCATCTCGGCTCACTGCAACCTCTGCCTTGTGAGTTCAAGGGATCCTCCTCTCTTAGCCTCCTGAGTAGCTGGGATTATAGGCAGCCGCCACCACGCCCGGCTAATGTTTGTATTTTTAGTAGTGAGGGGGTTTTACCATGTTGGCCAGGCTGGTCTCAAACTCCTGACCTCAGGTCATCTGCCCCTCTCCACCTCCCAAAGTGCTGGGGTTATAGGCGTGCGTCATTGCACCCAGCGTGTCTTCTAACTTTCTAAAAAAAAATTTCTGTATTCATCTCCCCACCCCCAATCCTTGGGCAAGTGCCAGTGACTGTATTCATCTTTGTTTTTGACTTTGTTCTGTGAAAATTCCTCAGTTTATCTTGCTTTTCTTCCTGCATCCATTCTGCTTTATAGCCGTATTGAATTGTTTATTCAACAGTGTCCATCTTACTCCTTTTAATAACTTTATTCTTGTTTTGTGGGTATAATTTTTGCTTTATCTGTTTATTCTTACATTAAAATAATTAGAATTAATAATGAGAATACAAATACGAGATGTGGCTGAAATTTACAGTCTTAAGGGTTTTTATTAGAAAAAGAAAATGAGGTAAAAAACTGGGCTGTGCACCATGGCTCACACCTGTAATCCCAGCACATTGTGAGGCCAGGGCAGGCGGCTCACATGAGGCCGGGAGTTTGAGACCAGCCTGGCCTACGTGGTGAAACCCCATCTTTACTAAAAACACAAAAGATAGCCAGGCATGGTGATGGACACCTGTTATTCCAGCTATGCGGGAGGTAGAAGCTGAGGCATGAGAATGGCTTGAACTCGGGAAGCGGAGGTTTCAGTGAGCTGAGATTGTGCCGTTTCATTCCAGCCT